CAAAATTAGAACAGAGTAAATATCGGGCGGTACAGTGAACCGGGATCTACAGTACAGTGAACCTTTACGAAGTGATTTTCTTTTCCTTTTTCATATTTCAAATTTTTGGTATGATACAACAATTCATTGTGTAAAAAAATGTCCAATGTGTATTACAAAAATGTTTATTTTATATTAAAAAAATGTTCATGGTATAGAAAAAAGCTTAATATGTATTATAAAAATATTCATGTATACTAAAAATGTTAATTATGTATTTGATTTTTATTCAGCATATAGAGTATTACACAAAATGTTCAATGTGTATTTGCGAACTGGTCAACCCATGTTACGAAAATATTAAATGCATATTAAAAATTATTCAATATACATTAAAATATGTTTAATGTGTACTTGAAAATTGTTACTTCCTCCGTCACAGTTTAGAAGGCATAGTTAAATTTGCGTGCCTTTTCATAGTAGACAAGGTATAGGGCGCATTGCATATATTTCTAGTAGCTAATTAGTACTCCAATATACTATTTCTATATGCATGCGTAGTGTGAATACTATTTTTTAGTCCTTCCCACAATCAATAGATAACCACCTAGGTTCAAGAAAATTTCCAAGCGCGCCTTCTAAACCGTGACGGAGGGAGTATATATATATGTATATATATATATATATATAGTATTACTATTCATCACCCAGGGTGTAAAATAAGTTATTCTTCACCCGAGGTAATCTTACGATCATTTCATAATTAAATTACGTTTCAAATTTAAATAGTTACATTCTATTGATTCACTGCGTAAAATTTGACATAAGAAAATAAAAATATAGGTCATAAGAAAAGAAAATTTGCAGTTTATGTGTATTTTAGACTATATTTTTACGTTTGTAATTTTACATAACGTAAAATATTTTTTACGGCGATTATATATTTTTCTTACTGTCCCTTTTTGCATCGGAAATACGACAAAAGTTACAGAACGTAAAATTATGGTGCATTGATGGTAAAATAGAGGGGGGGGTGAAGAATAACTATTCCTCACCCAGGGTGACGAATAGCGCGACCCTATACACACACACACACACCTATATATATATTCAAAATTAGAACAGAGTAAATATCGGGCTTACAGTGAACCGGGATCTACAGTACAGTGAACCTTTACAAAGTGATTTTTAATAAAAGGCAAAAAAACAGGACGACAAGAGGGAATCGAACCATTGATCTCTCGTTTAATGCTCGAGGTAACAACCACACCACCATCTCATCATATCTGTTTAATTACAGCTTTTCAAGTCCTCTCTTCTTCTTCTTCTTTTTCTTTTTTTCTTGGAATGGGGTTCGTCGGTTTTCCTTTTCCTTTTCTTTTGCTAAAGGCGTGAACATTTTTTAAGTCATAAATTATTTTTCACATTTAATGAACTTTTATAAAAATTGATGAATTTGTTTTTAAAAATCGATGAATTCATTCAAATTTGGTGAACTTTTTTGACAAATCAATGAATTTTTTTCCAAGTGTGAGAACGTTTTTTTACAATTGATAAATTTTTCGAAATTCGATGAACATATTTCGAAAATCAATCAACTTTCTTTGAAATTTCTTATTTTCTTAAAATTGATAACCTTTTTTTCCAGAAATAGATAACTTTTTTATGAACTTTTTCAAAATTGGTGAACTTTTTCCAAGTTTGCGAATATTTTTTGAAGTTGATGACTTTTTTCGAAATTCGATGAACTTTTTCCCAAAATCAATGAACTTTCTTCAAAATTGCTGATTTTTTCCAAAATTGATAAGTTTTTTGTAAAAAAATCGATGAACTTTTATCAAATTTAATGAACTTTTTTCTAAATCAATGAACTTTTCCCAACTTTGAGAATGTTTTTTAAAATTGATGAACTTTTTTCGAAATCAATGAGTTTTTTCAAATCCGTGAAACTTTTCCTCGAAATTACGTGAACTTTTATCTAATTCAATGAACTTTTAGAAATTATTGCAAAGTTTTTTCATATAATTCGTGAATATTTTTTGAAATTCATGAACTTTTAATTTTTTGAAATCAATTAATTTTCAAATCCATGATTTTTTTGTCCAACTGGTGATTTTTTCAAATATATGAACTTTTTGCTAAATCCAGCTTTTTTTCAAAATCAATGAACTTTTTACAAACCGATGAACGTTTTCCAATTTTTACGAACATTTTCAAATATTTGAAGTTTCCTCAAGTTCAATTTTTTTATTGTGTATTATTTTTAAATTTTTATCAGAAACTAACACACAAAATAAACTGGGTACATATCCTACATGATAATACCAAAAGAACTGTCAATTACCGTGTTTTCTAAAAAAATGAACAACAAAAAGAGTTGGCGTAGTTGTTATTCTGCTGTCTACAGATGTGTGCAGGCTGGGATCGAATCTTGCTTCTCCAAAAAATAATTTCGTGCTGTTTTTCACAGTATGCAAGCAGATAAATTTTTTTCTCCTCGCCGCGTTTGCTGGCTGGCCCGCCACACCCGCCGTGAAAGCGAGTAACCTCCTCGCTTCCATGATTCGGCTTCGCTCTGTTTTCTTCGTTATGGGATCCTTGTTTTGGGAATTTTCTCGAAGATTCGTGGCCGGTTTTAGTTTTATTCTTTTCTTGATTTCTTTGTTCTTTCTCTTTTTCTTATTCTTTTTTTCTGCTTATTCCATTCTATTCATTTTTCTTTTTTGTGGTTTATTTTCTCCATTTTCCTTTTTACCTATTTCTTTTCTTTGTTTTCCTTTTTGTAGTATATAAAAGGTTCACCGTGTATTAAAAATATATTCATCGTCAATTAAGAAAATATTCACCTGATATTATGAAAAGGTTGGCCATGCATTATAAAAATATTCATCGTGTATTACAAAATGATCATCGTATATTAAGAAATTGTTCGCCTTGTATGTGAAACGTGTTCATCATATATTAAGAAATTGTTCAGCATATACAACAAAATATTCATGGTGTATTTAAAAAAATTGTTCAGCCAATATTACAAAAATGTTCAATATGTTCTTAAAAATTGTTTGGCGTATATTACAAGAAATTAAATGTATATTAAAATTTTTTACATCCTATATAAAACCATGTCCATATTTTCCATTTTTTTAAATGTACGCTATTGCGACCAATACATATTTTGTTGCAGTAGGTAGCCAAGTTTTTGCAATGATATTTGTAACTAACACAACGTCTCACAATGTCGGA